ATTTAAGTGTAACCATTTCATTGTAAATAATTGGCAATCTTATGTTTTTAATTAATACCTTTAGTAAAATAAGATATTTATTGTTACGATAAAAGTATATGTTTCGAATGTTGTCAATCCATAAAATGAGTAGATTTAACAAAGTACATTTCCTGTTTCAATAAATTGTATACAAAACCATGAACGAAGGAAATACCCTAATCGTTTTGGTCATGTTACACAAATCCAAGTATCACGCTCTACCTCCTCGGTAGAATACCATCAACAATAAATACATTTTTAAATTAATAACAATGGCTTTGTACTTACGTACAGCATAACCCGCGCATCTTCTTCATTCAATTCACGCATCTTCTTCATTCAATTCACGCATCTTCTTCATTCAATTCATGCATTCTTCATTCACACCTTTCCGAGTCACTAATGGCTTTTATTAAAGATGTCGGTTCAGGTTTGCCGGCGGTCGCGAAGATTTTCAGGCCAGCATCGCGTAGTGCTTGACTAGTGACAGGACCGATAGCCACAGCCTTCACTTTATTTAAATCGTAACATTTCTTTCTCAAAAGGTTTACTACATGTTCTACCGTAGAAGGACTGAAGAAAACGAATATCTTTGGTACATCGTCCATGAATTTGAGCAACTCGTGTTCTAAACACTCGTTAGGCAAGGTTTTGTAAACTACTATTCTGTGTACTCCTATATCGTTATCACTGAGTGCCTTTTCGATTGTCTCGCGCCCAATCTCGCTACAAGGATACAGCAAAGGAGCTGTGTCTTTGGCAACAGAAGCTACTAGCAACTCAGCTAATTCTTTGGCATTGCCAGTCTCTTTTCCGAGGCAGTTTTCTAAACCCAACTGAGTTTTCACGAACGATTCGGTTGCTGGCCCGACACAATACACTGGCAAAGTCTTCCATGGACGCAGAATGCTGTCATCCTCTTTCGAAGCAAGCTCGATCGCCTCCGCAGCACGCCGACTTGTCAGTATCAGTCCTATAAATTATTATCCAATATAATAAAATTCAAATTATAGGAGAATCAAAATTTGCTTAGTAATCTTGTTACCGTGATACGAAGACGGAGTCAGAAGACACGTTCTCATCTGGGACGTGTTCACAAATTCGAAACATAGCGTGGGCAAGCATTCGCACGAGTAACCAGCTATTTTAAACGCGTTCACGTAAGACTCTTGTGAGTCGCTTTTTTCCGACGTACCGCGACATAAAATCACTCTTTCGTAGCGTACCGCCATGTTGGCGAACTCGTTATATCATCGTACGCGATCGCGATCATTTAAACGGATTAATTCGACACGTCAACGGAACCCGGGCACTGATAACACGAGTACGTATCAACAGGTATCCAAGAATACTGATTCGCGTAAAACCGGCGTCAGTCACGTGGAATCTTCAGTAAAAACGGCGGATAAAACACGAGAAAAAGGAGTTTCGCACACTTCACAACGCGGCCATTTGCACAAATTGTTCGGACGTTCACCAACAGAGGGAGGCGCATTTAAAATTGAGCGCTGGAGGAGAGACATTCGAAATTGAATAAGGAGAACGCAGGGATCGGAATTGATTTCATTGTCTTTTATTGAAACACTCTTTTAGGGTACACAAGCTATCCTAGATAAGCATTAAGGAAAGTATAAAGAAAACATTGAACAACTGCTTACGGAATCACAAAGTGGATGTCTGCCGTTTAACGACGTTTTAAACGTGTCATTCGGACGCGTGCACTTCGAAGGCACAACGATCCTCGACCCTTACGCATCGAGAATTTCGCCATGAAAACACGAACCTCGCGATAAGAAAACTCGCAACGATTCAAAATAATTGTTGTCTCGCGTCGCGAAGACAACGATTTATCCAATGCCCTGGTTGCTAGAAAGCTAACTTTAATTGAAAAAGTAGGAAAAGGATGAGGGTACGAGTATGAAAAACTGTTGGGTGGTAGGGACGCTGACAGGACTGCAACCTGTTCTCCTGGCAAAATCTCGGCGAACGTCGACATACGGGATATTCGTTGCTCGTATCAGGAACGATTATAGCGCACGGAGTTCCATCGTAAAGGGGACCGAGTGTCTTCTTCTTTCATTACGCAAAAATAGAAATGTTTTATCATGGGGATCAAGAAATCTACACCTTCTTAACAACTAGAAAAACTTATGTTACAGAGAACTGTAAACTAGTACGTCGCACGGATTTAATCCGTGGTCCTTAACAGAACTATCATCATTTCTGAACCAGCGTTCCAGAATTAGATTCGATTCTGGACCGAATCGTATAAATGAGTGACTCTTATCTCGCTTAGTAATTTCAGATTCACGAGCTCTATTATCATCAGCGTTATTGTTATCGTTATTATTATTATCAGTTCGAATATTATCTATATTCGTAAAGTACGTTTTCGCACGGTTGGTGCTTCGTTCGCTTGGTCGCTTCTCGTTTAATACATTTTTCACCGACGATAGACGAACGGGAGGGGGGATAAAAAATTTGTCGAAGAGAACATAGAGACGTTGTGAAAAGCCTAGCCTATCGTATGCTTAGATCTATGCACTTAAATAATAATCACAAAAGTGAGACCGAGGTCAAGAGCCCGACGTCTGACCAGGACAATTAACCGACAGGCGGTCTCGATACCTGACTTCCGATAAAAAGGGTTTGCCGAGTCATCAATTTCTTTGCGCAATCCACAGGCTTTCGTTGACCTTATTTCAGCATAATAATAATTAGAAAACAAATTCGCTCCGAGATTAATAAGAAACTAAACAGAGAAAATCGACAACTATTATCACGGAATCTTCGGGTACCGGGAACCATCGAAGTAAAAAAAAAAAAAGTCAAACAAACAAAAAAGAATGCAAGAGTAGATGCCTATCGATTAAACTCGAAGGCACTCCGATAGTAAAGTAATAATGTAACTTACGTACTTAAATTGGCCTTAAAACGTAGACGTTAAAGTGTAAAGGTATGACTTAAGTACAACCACAAAAAGTTGTTCATTATTATGGCATTCGTAAATCCTTAACTACGCTCCCTATTAGATCAATTAACGGCGCGTGTCAATGTGAACCATTCGTGATAATCGCATAATATATCTTGGAACATCCGCGTTACGAGAACCGCTTCTGGAAGCTTGTTACGTCCGCCCATTTTATTTCCCTCGCTGGGAAGCGGTCTCACGATCTATCAATAATAATCATTCTGAATTCGGTCGACCGTTCTCTCGGTTCACTCAATTTCATCCACGTTGCGATCGCTGATCGCAAATTTGTTCCCTTATCGAAAAATTTCTCATGGTTCGAAACGTAAGGTTATCGAATGGCTGCGTTGAATAAAAAGAAACAGAGAAAGGGCAGAACTGGTGGGATCGTCGACGGACCCTGAATCCGTTCCTCCGTCGTTTGAGCTCTGGCTACGAGTTTTTGATTAGTCGAAGACATTGGAGATCCTTGATGGCCCATCCGGACCGCTCTTTGCCTTCTTCAGCCCTTCGTCGGTTCGAATCTGCAAACAAGCAAATTTCATGATTAATTGTTATATTCTCAAAATTATAAATAAATTTTCTTCAGATATTATGAATACTAGAATATCAAGTTTACTATAATTTTCAGCGAATAGATTTTGCAACAGCGTTTTAACTCTGTTACGAAGTAAAGTCACGCTAGGAGATTATTCCTAACATTTCTAGTTCTCAAACATCCTTTCCCTTTCTATCCCACTAAGAATCGTGTCAGATCGGCAAAGAGCCGTGTCCAAGAGCATGAAGATCTCATAGCTACCACTGTTTCCTCCCGTGGCAATCGAGGAAAAGGACGATCCTCTCGTCGCGTCAGACGAGCGAGCAGCCCCGATAATCGACCCTCGGAGCGCACCAATAATTTGACGTAATTTAATAAACGCGACCCTAGCGTTGGTCGTACGCGCGCCGGGTCGCGCGACTATCATTACGGACAGTTTGATCGTATCTGGTCAGTGCGTAATGACGATGCACCTAGAGTCCACCGCGCTGTGCACCCAGCGCTCGATCATCGGTCATGCAAATTGCCCGGCCTTGCCCCTTTCGCGATACCGACCATCCTTCTACCTACCCCCTGCCTACACGGAAAACAATGCCCCTCGTGGCGAGGCACCAGGTAAAAGTACAAACTTCTCGATCCTTATACTGAATCTGAGAATCTCTCGATGCCAAATCTGTTTCTAGCATGCCTGAATACTTTGCAAATGTCTCTGCTTCTTTCTTCCATCCAGTAAACGTGTTCATAGCAAACGTACGTAGTAGTCCTCAAAGTCGATTAATGCAATATTAAAAAAAGTCGTCTCTGAATATTAATGATAGTTACTGTATGTACCAATTATATTACAGTAAAAACGTTAAGCGTATACATTTACTAGTCAATGTGTACACATTTCAATCCCTGCAATAAATATGTTGACGATCAATCAAACGTAAGCTTACAATTAGTAAATCTGTTGGGTTCACAGTTTTATTAAAATCGTGCATGTATACAGTGATTAGTAAGGGTATATATTTACTACGCTTTAAGCTTTTACTGTGACACGTTTATGGTACGGAAAGGGTTAAAATCGAATGCAAAAGCGGATCGTTATCAAGAGGATTTATGAAGGAAGGGTGAAAGAGAGAGAGAGATACTGCCTTCCGTTTACGGCTATTGGAATTTTTCGTCGAGTGACGAACGACCGGTCTCGCGTTATATCGCGTCTAAACGCGGAACGTCTTCATCGGGAGCGTTTTATAGAACGGGTAATTAAAATCTACCATTTATTGCCACTGCCACGTAATACCGGCGGCGTAATGACATGTTTCTAATAACGACAAATGACGCCCGGAGGCTTGCGTTTGTCTGCTCATCTGTGTTAATTTCCAATCCATTCGTCTATTTGTTTTCTTTTCCCCTATGTCATTTCTCTATTAAAGATAAATTTATATTATCGTTCCAATTAATTGCTACAAAATAGTGCAGTTTATTCATCCGACTATACTAATAAGAGCTTCACATTTATTTTTCATATTCAAACTTAAAAAAATAAAGGACAGGCGAAGATGGATGGTGTCAATTTTTGACGAATGCCAACCGATATCTCAAAGGCGTACATTATTGACTTATACCACTGAGACTTCCAAGGGGGCTCATTAGCCGCCTGGCTGAAAGAATTTCTATCGAATGTCGCGACACACCTTCGGTCGACGGCGTTCCATCTCGACTGTTACTTTAAGAGCCACGAGCCTTTAGACTGATTATTAAGTTCCGAAGATTTAAAGCGCTCCTTTGTATCTCCTCGGTGGACGCGGCGCGGTGGGACGAACGAAATTCATTTACCGATCGGACGGCCGCGACTCGCCTGACGTTTTAATCAATCAAACGGGTCTCGAACTTCTCTCGAGTCCGTTATCTTTTCAATACCTTTCATTGAAGCCATCGGACAGTTTCGAAAACAACTAATTCGCTCGAACGTTCTGTTTGAATAAAACCAAAGGGACGACGACGCCGGTTTCTCATTATTTCTATAAGGTACACGTGGGTACGCCCGTTCGAGGAACGATTATCTTCGACAAAGTGAAACGATAAATCTCATCAATGAAGGGACACCCCGATGATTGTTCGCAATCGATGGAGGAAGAAGGGTAGAAAGAGGTAATCGAGCGGCGCGCACGTATACGAGAAAAAAGGAGCAACAGGGGACTCAAGGCCGCGTTTGCGAAACGGCAATCGAACGGATCGATAAATCTCTCTCACGGGCCGAGCATCCAGCCCGCCCCCATGTACGTACATACAATGTCGTCGTTGGTATATTTGCAAATTATTTATCACTTCGAGCTACGTGGCAATTACAAGAGGAGCCCCGCGCGATCGCTTGTATTTGTATTCGTCCCGCCGATAATCGTGCGAAATTCGCGTTCGACTACGGCCGAGGCCATCGCTATTAATAATCGTAAACGACCATTAATTTTGTGCCGATGCTAAATCGAATCCGCGATTCTTTCGTTATTCCCGTTGACTGAAACGTAGGAGGAATCGATAATAATCTTGTATTGTTGCGCACTCGCCTTTTTGCTCGCGAGTCTTGGATCAGCGGAACAACATGAATTCTAGAGACCTAGGGAAGTGGAAGCTAGTTTTCCAAGAATTTTTACTCAATGAAATATTCTCGTCGACAGTGAAAACAAGCTTTCGCGGTTTCTCTTTCTTGTAACGTCGCGTGAATGACACGACACGAGTCGACGCACGTGCTGCGCCATAAGTCGGAAGAAAAGACCTGCCGGTCAGACCTTCTGTCGTGCGTGCGAGCACAATGCCTTTTTTTACAAGCTGCATACGTTGCCTCCACACTTTTGCATTTGATCGTCCGACAAAATAAAATCGAACAAAAGAACGAGACATTTTTTTATGTCCAGATGTATTTTCTTTATTCTCATCATAAAAGATATTTCTGTCTGAATTACATTTTCCTTATTCGATGAGACTCATTATTGTTTCAAATCCTAAAAACAAAGGGATTAAGATTCTTTTTGTTCCAAACTCAATTTTCATTCCACGAAATTGTACGTCGTTTGAAATTCTGCTCGTGAAAAGAAGCGATTTTCAAGATTCCGTGAACGTTCCGCGCGTTAGAAGAGATGTTTGCCCGGTGCACGTGTACTTTTCGTAAAGACCGGTGCCGCGAGCCGGGCATCCGTGCGCAGAGTTCACCGACCCGGACCCGTTTGCCGGGCCAGGATTCGCCGAGGGGGACCAGGCCGGCTTGGCCCAAACTTTTCGGTAATGAACCCATTGTTGTGCCTGCCACTGTTTATCATGCCGGTTCTTCGCGGCTCACGAAACCTGCTTTACATTCATTGTACATTCCACGGTACAATTTCCAACTTTTAATCGAGATCGATCTTTTATCACGTTGAGTCATTCTGGATATTTTTTTTCATTCCACACGAGCGTTTTATTTAAATTCGCAGCCCGTTTGTGCAGCAGACAGGAGTTAAAGGATACAAAAAGAATAGTCAGACGGTGGCCCGTTTCCGTTCGAGCAGCTGCAGCGTTCATAAAGGAACAGTTTTATTGGCAAGTCGCGTCGCCGTCGTCGCGTGGAAAAAATCGCGCGCCGCAATCGGACCGCGAAAAAATTCGCCCATTGTCCCGGCGCTGACGCTGAAATACCCTTACGCTGGCACACGGTGTATGAATATGACTATGATGATACCCGCAGCGTGGGTCGCTTTGTTCCTCCTCGTCGGCTGTCTTTACCTACCCCGCAGTGGCGTAGGATTCGTGTTCCACCGTCGAAAATAAAATTCTCCCGCCGCCGCTTTCCCCTTTTATCCAATCTTAATTGCTTTCTCTGTACCGTTGCCGACGGATGACTGTCACGTGAAAGTACAATAGATCCTGCGTTGCGCAATGGTAATTGTAGTAATTGTTCAAAGGTTTACTTACTTAGGGTATTGAGCAATGCCAGCTTTCAAATACTTTTGTCAAAAGCATAATCAAATTTATAAATGCAGCTTTGACATAGGATGGGCAGGTTGGGCAAGAAAGTTAGGCAAGGTTAAAGGGAATGTCGAGAATGCGGACTGAATTCCAAAAGCGGTTACTGAAAATAGCTCGGGTAGGAGTGAAATTCCAGACAGGAGCAAATGTCGGCCAGTGAAATTTGCAGCAACGGCGTGGTGGGAAGCGATTTGATGAACGATTCGCGGTTCAACGACCTTTTGCGAAGCCTTTCAAAAGCTCGCCAGGTCTCAAGCTCCGCTATCCACTCGTATCGTATCACCGTTGCACGCTACACACGCCGCTGTTAATAATTGGATTGGCAAAAAATATAAAGAACGCGGGCAATATTAAAAAACGTGCAATCAAAGTTACATTTTTTTCAATTATTCTCCATAAAGATCGCATAATATCTAGTCATTAAAAGCATCGTTTTACTCGATTGAAGATCAACAGTAAGTTCGAAACGCCGCTGCCAGGAGCTTGTTAAAGTTCGCCGGTACGAGACACGGTAACACTGGGAAAGGAATTCTAGCGAATGCTAATTGCGCGACCCGACAGAGTTTTTCTGATCGCGTCCGTCCGGAATGGAAGGCAATAAAGCAAAACGCGGTGAGAATATTCCACGGCCGAGGCGTTTAAGTCCGACAGTGGAACGCTCGGCGCGGCGTGCCTCGTGGCCACGGCCTTGTTTCCCGATCAGGGGTCATACAGGAAGTCCTTTTGCAGAGTTCATACCCATAAGTTACCTCCGCGAGCTTTGTCGCGGTCCCGTGTACCGTTCACCATCACGGTTATGCTACCTATCCGGCCCGGTGGATACTAATACGCGGGAGAGGGATCTTAGTTAAATCTTATCGAGACTGAAATTCGTGGGAAGAGCTTAGCTCGGAGATGAGGAAGGCTAGAGTCGAGGGAAAAGCCGTAAAACCCGTTCGACGGTGCACGTTCTCTGCGCCCTTGGAATTAGAGTACTTACGCAGCGAACAAAGGCATGCTTTC